TTGAGAAACCTGCCAAGAGGAAGACCAACAGTAGCACTCAGAATCAACCTTATCAATGCAGCGTCTGCAATAGGGCTTGCGGCTCTAGAATTGGACTCTACTCTCACGAAAGGATGCATCGCTAATGTGTCGATAGAATACTCATGCGTTGGCTCACGACACGAAAATCCATATATATATATATATATATATATATATATACTCTTAAAGTGTGCTATATTTATAGGATAAAGTGCTCAATATCAGAGCGTGTGTAAATATAAAAGTGAACATTGAAGTCAACACTTAAAGGCGACAGACCGTTTCATGCTAGACGCAATCGTCAGGATATATATATATATATATATATATATATATATATATATATATATATATATATATATATAAAAAGTAAACATTGAAGTCGACACTCATTCGACAGGTTGTTTTTAGGCTAGACGCAATCCTCAAGACTAACGATTGCGTCTAGCTTGAAAACAACCTGTCGACCTGAGTGTCGACTTTAATGTTCACTTTTATATATTATATATATATATATATATATATATATATGGTTTTAATGGTTTAAGGGGATCACTATCAAGGATAGATCGTATGTAAATATGAATGAGGATACTATGGTTAACACCGGGAAACATGTCCCGAAATTATTGATAATAATTCCATTTTCCTACCTCTTAATACCTTGCTTCGTTTCTGGGACACATCATTTTTCATTTCGATGTGCCTTCGGATATGCACAAAAATCATCTCAACCGGAATTCGAACAAGATTCTTTTATTCTAAATCAAGAATCGTAACGACCCAAAGTGTCAACTAGTTAGAATCGAACGCAGTAGATGTCGGTTTCCAAATTGGCTACCAATCAATCTTCCATGATCAACGTGTTTCGTCTAAAAGAATGACAGATTTATGTCACACAAAGCGATTAGATCGAACCCACTATTAATTGCATGTCATGTCCGACCACTAAACACTGCTCTACAAGAGTGGATGTGCTAATTAATAAATTGCAAGAAGTAGATTAATTGGCCTTTCTAAGACGCCTTGATCAATGGATATAAACGTCTCGACTGGCAAGAACTGAATATTGACAAGCTGATCGAAACTGGAAGGCCATAGAATAAAGTATTCTAACTCTCAGCAATGAATGGACAAATTCTGGTTTCGAAAATTATCCACACACCGGATATGGAAACCATGGAGATCTCAAGGTTATTATCTCGTTTAAGTGTCATCAACCATAGTAATCTTTTTTTTTTAGTTAGTTTTAACCCGTAAAAATTTCACGGTTTTCCTATTTGAAATTTCCGATGGATCTGAATTCTTCAATTAAGAATTGGATAAGCTCATTGTTTTTTTTAAAACAATAAGATAACAATAAAAATTCCCCAATCACATCGTTAAATATTTGAGAAAGAAACACCTTTAACAAAATTTTGTAATATCAATCTTAAATATGATTGCTTGTCGTTACTTTAAGAAGTACGGAGATACAAAGGAAAAAAGATTTGAAATTCACAATGCTTTTTTTCTTTTTCTTTTTTCATTTCACTGTAACATGCATTAAACACTTCTGTCTTTCCTTCTTTCTTTCATTTTCTGGTTGAAACCAAGTAGCGCTTTTGATACTTATTTTGTCTTCTTACGCGATCAAAACGGGATAGTCCGTTATGTATGGAGTGTTACCAGGAGTCGTTAAACACTTCTCTCCCTCTCTCTCTCTCTCTCTCTCTTTGTTTGTTTGTTTCTTTCTTTCTTACGCTGAAACTAATTTTTCCATTTCACTGAAACAGACGTTAAAAATTTCTCTCTTCCCTTCTTTCTTTGATTTTCTCACTGAAATCAAGTATCACTTCTGATATGCCTTCTGTCATTTCCCGCGATCAAAAACGGAATAGTCCATTATTTATAAACTGTTGGCAAGGCGTAACGGTCGTACGAAATAAAAAACTAACGAAGAGAGCGCCAAGCATAATTTTTCATCATAAATTTTGTTAGACATTCCTCATAACATATTGGATAGTGAGTGTACAATAGTAACATTGCCATGGTTTCTTCTTCTTCTCTCCTTCTCATCCTTCTTTTTCTTTTTCTCTTCCACCTCTTTCTTCTACTTCTTCCTCTTCTTTTTCTCTTCCACCTCCTCCTCATCCTCTTTCTTCTTTTTCTCTTCCACCTTTCTTCTTCTTCTTCTTCTTCTTCTTCTTCTTCTTCTTCTTCTTCTTCTTCTCTTCCACCTCCTCCTCCTCCTCGCGGAGGTAGCTTATCGTCATACCAAGGACGCGGATGTGATTTATCGTCATACCCATGACGCGGAGGTAGTTTATCGTCATACCCAGGACGCGGAGGTGGTTTATTGTCATACCCAGGACGCGGAGGTAGCTTATCGTCTTACTCAGGACGCAGAAGTAGTTTATTGTCATACACAGGACGCGGAGGTAGTTTATTGTCATACCCAGGACGGTCCTCAAAGGGGATCGATGACCTATCTGATAAGTTACGAGAAACTAATACAAATAGTAATCTTACTTATTATAAAACGCAAATTGTGTGTGTGTGGGTGTGTACGTTTTTATATTGGATCGGATTTCCTACATTTTTCAACCGATTTCAACAAAACTTCACCCGACTGCGTAAAATTACCTTGCGGTGGTTCTGACAGCACCAAAAATTGAAAAAAACACAACTGTTTTTCCACAAAATCAATTTGAAAACACGATAAAACACGATTCTGTCGCCAGAATGGAAGGGGGACAACTCATATCGAGTTATACTTATTATAAAACACAGGTTGTTTGTGTGTGTGTGTTCGTTTATATATTGGATCGGATTTCCTACATTTTTCAACCGATTTCAACAAAACTTCACTTTTTTTGGCAGGTAGTGTTTCTTATTGTCTTGCACACTTTTTCTTTATTTTTACATTCAGAATGCTTTAAAAATTCCATTTACAAGACAATTGTTTATGATAAAATTCTATTCAATCGGTAGACTCATAACGATTGAAAACTATGTTTGTTTGAGTTTGGGTTTGACCAACCAAAAAAAAAAAAAAAAAAAACTAATTAAGACATGCGTGTCCGTCAACCTTAAACAATAATCTTTGTCTATTTTATTTTCAGTCTTTATGATGGTCGATACTTGATCTATCTCTTACTGTTACATCCCCGGGCAACGCCGCGCTCTCCTGCTAGCAAATATATATAACTGAATAAAATGCGATTTTAACTTATTTTTCAAAGAGTAAATTTGACAAGAGACGTGCCGTGTGATTTAATCGTTTGGTTTATTTTGTTTAACGCCATATCACCTCAATGTGTTATTTAATGCCGACAAGAATTTTAGAATTCCAGGTGATAGTTTCTGATTTGGAAAGGTTTATCTTGAGTCATGTTTCTAGGAATATTTGGTAAGGGATGTTGCGTTTTTTCTGGTACTTCTTGATACAATCGTATAGAGTATATATGGATTTGAAGTGTCGACTTCATGTTCTTGCCGTTGCATTCGCTTTCGTGCGGGTAAAAAGAATGATGTTACTTGCTGGGCAAACAGGTCTCTCTAGCTTTGGTTGGCAAACAGTGTAGGATAAAGGGAATTCTGGATTCAATAACGGATAATCTCGAGGTTTATGGATAATCGTGCTACTAATTCTAGGGCAATAAAATCTTGCTTGTTGAGGTTCTGGCCCTATACTCAAAGGAAAATGTTTTAGGGTTAACACACGCACACAGACGCACACAAACACGCGCTTACACACATGCTCATTTTTATATATATATATATATATATATATATATATATATATATATATATATATAACGTCATCCACAGACAGACTGTTTCGCTGTTTCACAGCTCATCAGTGTGGCTAGACATCCGGTTGCCTCTAGCTAGGATCGAAACCCGACTGAATTGGTGTCAGTCGGAGATTCTAACCATTAAGCCGTCGGTAGGGATGAAAGTGAATTTTTTTAGCGTATTTATTTTTAGAAACACGCCCAGTGACCGACAGTGACTCAATTCGCATCTGCGAAGAGTCTCGCTATATAGCTATAATAGTCACTGTTTACCAACCTACACCTCGTCCCCAGAGAATTCAACTGAAATTGATATTTCAGGAGCCAATATAACGTCATCCACAAATGTGTGTCTGTGTGTGTGTTTCTGTGGTATAAAGTCGTTGATAGATAGATTTGTACGAATAACGGCATATCAACGCCCTATGTGTCATTTACTGCAGAAAGTTAATTTTATTGGGATCTTTGAAGCAATAAATATATGAAATGTGTTATTCTGCTCCCACAGTTGAATACATGGTAGATTATTCGTTGGTTGGTTTTGTTTAGCGGCATATCAGCATCTCTATGGTCTATTTAATGCCGAAATCTAAATATTTTGGACGCAGTTTTAAGCCCTCAACTACAGTCAAAACGTATTGTTGGTCATTTTACTATAAAATTTATTGCCGGTCGTTCTGCAATAAAATGTATTGAGTGTCATTTTATTTTAAAAATATTTTGTCGGTAATTTTACTATAAACAGGTATTGTTGATATTTTTTTATATAAAAATGTATTGATGGTATTTCTACTATAAAAAATGTATTCTTATACTTTTATAGTGTTTTGTTTCTGTTTGCGGGCTTCACTATTTGCTCATAGTTGGAACTCTAACAGGTGCTACAACTCTGGGTCAGGGTTGCCCTGGGAACAACGGCAATTAAGGAGTGGTCCCACACTCGTCAAAACCTCCAATCACCCAATCGGAGGCCTTGCTGCCGGATGTAGTTTGTCGTCATACCCAGGACTAGTTTAGTCGTAAACAGCGGGTTACCGTCTTTGATGACCTCTATAGACGCAAGTATAAAATGTACCACAAAGGGTTTGTAAACATTTGGAACCATATCACAAACACGATCATATGACGAAACACCTCTCTTAAGAAAGATTCATTTTAGTCGTACATAGCGGCCTTGCTGTCGGATGATCATAACTAAGACTAGATAGATAGATAGATAGATAGATAGATAGATAGATAGATAGATAGATAGATAGATAGATAGGGTGATTTAAAATGTATTAATGCATTAGTATAAAAAATTAAATTAATAAATTTCAATATGCTTACAATTCAACTTTCTTTCATATTAACTCATACAGCTGCCGTATATGCAAAGGGAGAAAGTGAGATTGATAGATTGATAAGATATATGTTTAATACTATTTTTCAACCAATACAATGCCCCAGAGCTACTCAGGTATAGGTTATCTCAATTAAATTTTTATGAGTGCCGATTATGATGACATGTATCATAGATAAGTCAGAAATTGTGCGTGACTCCCTCGTATGGAACTCAATGCGCGGCAAAAGATCGCTTGGAAAACCCCATCACAGCTACATTGATCAAATTGTAGATGACTCTGCATGCTATCTGGAGGACTTGCCGACGGCGATGTCTGACAGCGACGGTTAGAAAGCACGAGTCAGGAGAATCAGAGAAGAATTCTCGACCTGGAGATGATCATTTTTTTTTCTTTGTAAACATTTCGGTCGTTCCGCTTGTATAGACAGAGGTTAGAGTTAACACCGTAAAATCGACTGGATGCTGTTTTGTTTTTTGTTTTTTTATGAAATGATCTATTTCAGTTAATTCATTTTTGATCTGCTGTGTGATTAGATGATAAGCCAATGGTTTCTACGCACTTTACATGAAAATGCAACTGGTTTTAATCATATGCTATTGTTGTCTGAAAACGATGTTCTGAAAGTATGTAATTCTTTATTTATTAATCCAATAAATGAATATATATTCACACAGTCTGCTTTTATTGCATTTGCGATATTTTTGTAAAGGTGACTGACACATGTAGAGTAGAACCTCATCACACTTACATTGACCAACTGGTGGATGACTCTTGATGGCATCTGGAGGACGGTTAGAAAGAACAAGTCAGGAGAATTCGAGAAAAAATTTAAACCTGATGATGATGATGATGATGATGATAGATAACCGTTGACCTTAGAAAAGATTAAGCTGGTAGTGATCGAAGAATCCTCCTACGGAGAAATAAGAGTTCTTCGGAAGAAATTGTCTAAGTAGACCATTCTCTTTACCAATGGAATACAAATGTTTGGTTTGCTTTGCTTTGTTTTACGGCATATCGAGTTCAATTGCTTATTTAATGCTGACAAGATTTTAATTGCTGGTAATATTTTTTTTTCCAAAAAAATTATTACTGTTATTAAAACTTATTCTTACACTTTCTTAGTGTTTCGACCCCACTTAAGGGGTTAACTATTTGCCCATAGCTGGGACCCTAAAAAGTGCTACCAGTCCAGGTCAGGGTGGACCTGGGAACACCGTCAAATAAGAGATGGTTCTATGCTCCTCGAAACCTCCTGATCAGAGGCCTTGCTGTTCCATGTAGTCTAACATCTTACCCAGGACGTGGATGTAGTTTGTCGTCATACCCAGGACGTGGAATACAAAGGAACGAGGAGTATGTAATACATTGAATATGGTATGACTTGTCATGGCTCGGGTGGAACTAAACAATGTATTACGTCTGAAAACTGTTGTGAATAGTCATTTGATATTTACCTATAATTTCTTTCGTCCTTTTAACGCACCTGTCGCAGATATAAACAAACATTAGTTTTTTTTTAAGCATTTCACGCCAAGCAAAGCGGGAATGCCATTATTATGCAGGGGGGGTCGTACGGGGAGTGAAAGAGAAAAAGAAAACTGAAAAATAAAGAGGAATAAGCAAAGAACAAAAAATGGACGGCGTTTAAGTCAACAGAAGATAGCGATTGATGTTGCATTTAAATTTTTGAAGATTCTAGTTATCAGGGAAGCAGGTAAACGGATGGGAGACCCTCAGGCGGGAAGTGTGGGAAGAAAAATTGTTGGGTTTGAAGTTTCGGTTACATTTTTTTTCATTATTCCGTCAGTAAAAATAGCACGCTTAAATTGATAGTCATAGCACCAGGAAAAAAAGCTCGTCAGAGCATTTGCCATGAAAATATTTTTTTAGAAAAGGCAGAGGGAAGCCACATCACGTCGAGATGCCAAGTCAGGATCGATTGCAGTGCACATCTTTCTTCGGATTTTTTCTCAGAATCTCGAAATGAACAGCAGAAGCACCATATCAAATATGGCAGCAGTGTTCACTGCACGAACGACTGGTAGATTTCTATATGTGCAAAATGGATTCTGGCGAGAGAAAAAAATTCACAGTGACTCAAATTTCCTTGCAATAGATGCAGCTATTTAGATAGATATGACGAGTTTTTAATAGATTGTTTAATTTTTTACGGCTTATCAACCCATGCAAGACATTGTACGTCATAAATTCATTAAAGTCATTTGGATTGTAAGAAACTTCTTGAGATAATAATGATTTACCGATACATGTCCACGTATTCCACCCATAGTCATACACTTCCCAATGTTGTTTGCGCGTAAGTGATATATAAGAAAAAACACCAATTCTTACTGGACGAAATTCGCGCAGGGAAAGTGGAAATGAGAGTAGCAAAGATGATTGCCTTAAAAGAAGGACAAAATGGGAAACAATGATTCATAGGAAAGTTAGATGGTCTGAATTATGGCGTAACGAAACAGGCATGAACTTTCTAATCCGAGCAGTTTCCGACCTTCTCCCAAGCCCAGTTAACCTAAATCTATGAACTAAATCGGAATCGCCCTTATGCTTCTTATGCGGTCAATTAGGGTCATTAAAATACATACTTAGTAGTTGCAAATCAGCGCTTGCTGATGGTAGATACAGATGGCGCCATGATCAGATATTGTTAATACAGCCATCCGTACAAACACATTTAATTGAAACAGGAATGTTATAAATTTTATTAAAGCCGGCGTGAAACTAAACCCCCAAAAAATGATCGCACTTAATTGTCTGTCGAGTCCAATAGACTGGGAACTTAGAGTAGATATAGGCAAAAGATTAAACTTCCCGGATCACATCTTCAAGACCTTATTGCGTCCAGACTTAGTCCTCTTTTGAAATAAGTTAAAGAAAATCATTATGTTGTAATTAACAGTCTGTTATGAGGACAATGCAGAAGAAGCGAATGAATGGAAAAAAAAAACTAAGATACGACGAATTACTGGAAAATTGTTGGAGCAATGGATGGAAGTCAAGCTGCAAGCCATTTGAAGTAGTCACAAGGGGTTTTGTAGCAACATCACTAGTCTGTGCCCTAACAGATATTGAGATAGTGGGAACAAAAATACGAAAGGCTATTCAAGCTATTACTGAGACAGCAGAAAATACAGCTAAATGGTTATGGCTAAAACGAGCCAGTGCAAGGACAAGCAATCAGGGAAGAAAAAGTTCAAGTTCGAGATACATGGAAATGACGTGTTTCTTTTTCTTTTTAAAAATTATTTTACGTAGTGTAGATTTATAAATCTTTAATTGTATATTATTGTAATGTAAATAGTATTAAGATATGTCAGCTTATAACTAATTATAAATTCCATATTTGGTTTGTAAATATGTAGAGTCAGAAATTTAGATGTAGTTTATTTATTTTATTTTTACATCTGCCAATTTCAACATATTTATCTAACTAATCTATTTTATCTTTATTCATTATCCTTATTTTATTTCATTTTTATTTTTTCTTACTTGATGCTTAAAAGTTGGTAGGAATATATTACATATTAACTGTGATTTCGATATTTTCATCTCGAATAAAGGCACAACATCATAAAGTTCAAACGGGTCAATTTTTTTCGATAGTTCCTCCCACCATTTTCGTTCTTTATTGCTTAATAGAAGTCTTTTGACTTCCATTTTATCTCTTTTTCCTTTTCTGACGCCAACTATGGGTTTATATGTGATATTTTTTTGTAACTAATTCTTGTTAAACGACTTATGTACCAACATCATTCACCCCTCTTTCCGCCATTTTTTTTTCGCGTAACGATCAAAATCGTAAATTTTAATTTTACTTGTTAATCTCACACGTTAATTTTACCACGTTAATCGACAGATTTAATCGAATTTTCTAAGTTTGCTCGTTCAACTTGTTTTAAACGACATTTGTTTTTATATTTATTTTCGTTTTAACACGCTGATTAAATCGTAATTTATTATTTAATCGTAAAAAAAAAATGTAAATTTCTAATTATTTTAACGTTGCATTTTTTTATTTCTTATTTTCTTATTTTCATTTTTATACTAACAAGTAACTAGTAGTGAGGGAGATGAAACGTAAAAAAGTAAAAAATTTAAAAAAAAAAAAAGGACAACACATACTTACGTTCAGATTATCCGCCGAGTATCCACATGAAAAAAGAATAGTTATTTATTCGTACGTTGGTACAAAATGTGGCACAAGGCCAAACATGAAAAAAGAATAAGTAAAAAATCCCCTGTAAGCAACTTAAATAGAGCACACCCCATTGCGATTGGCTGTTGGTTAACTTCCAATGAAATGCGTGACAGAGGGGTAGGGTTTGCCTAATACAAGTCAGTGTCAGCAGGCTGTTAATTTAGATGGGGTGGGGTGCGCATCAGAGACTGATCTGCTCTGATGGGAAGGATTTCGTGAGGGTAGTATGATGGTTGAAAGACCCGAAACTGCCAAATGACCCAATTCAGAACATCACTGAGGACGCCCTCTAGCGTTAAAGGGCGTATATTCAAAGTATAAAGATATTGGAACACTGCTTAGAGATTTCCAATTGCTAACCGTCAGCAATTACACCATCCACACATTCCACTCTACAGTAGCTGATATAGCTAATGTGTCTAGAGTTGATCTTTCAACGTGATATGTTTGTAAGTCTTTTTTCATTAATAAGTAGGTAGAAGAAAAGGTCGATATTGATCAGAACAAAGTTCGATATATATATATATATATATATATATATATATATATATATAGATAGATAGATAGATAGATAAATCAAAAGATATGTAGATAGATAAGAACGGATTAATATATATATGTGTGTGTAGATAGATAGGTAGATAAGAACAGAGATAGATAAGAACAGAGATAGATAGATAGATAGATAAGAACAGACTTAGATAGATAGATAGATAAGAACAGACTTATATAGAGGAGATAGAACAGACTTAGATAAGAACAGGCTTAGATAGATAGATAGATAGAACACACTTAGATAAGGCAGACTTAGATAGATAAGAACAGGCTTAGATAGATAGATAGATAGATAGATAGAACACACTTAGATAAGGCAGACTTAGATAAGAACAGGCTTAGATAGATAGATAGAACGCACTTAGATAAGGCAGACTTAGATAAGAACAGGCTTAGATAGATAGATAGATAGATAGATAGAACACACTTAGATAAGGCAGACTTAGATAGATAAGAACAGGCTTAGATAGATAGATAGATAGAACACACTTAGATAAGGCAGACTTAGATAGATAAGAACAGGCTTAGATAGATAGATAGATAGATAGATAGATAGATAGATAGATAGAACACACTTAGATAAGGCAGATTTAGATAGATAAGAACAGGCTTAGATAGATAGATAGATAGAACACACTTAGATAAGGCAGACTTAGATAGATAAGAACAGGCTTAGATAGATAGATAGATAGATAGATAGATAGATAGATAGATAGATAGATAGAACACACTTAGATAAGGCAGACTTAGATAGATAAGAACAGGCTTAGATAGATAGATAGATAGATAGATAGATAGAACACACTTAGATAAGGCAGACTTAGATAAGAACAGGCTTAGATAGATAGATAGATAGATAGAACACACTTAGATATGGCAGACTTAGATAGATAAGAACAGGCTTAGATAGATAGATAGATAGAACACACTTAGATAAGGCAGACTTAGATAGATAAGAACAGGCTTAGTTAGATAGATAGATAGATAGAAGACTTAGATAAGGCAGACTTAGATAAGAACAGGCTTAGATAGATAGATAGATAGAACACACTTAGATAAGGCAGACTTAGATAAGAACAGGCTTAGATAGATAGATAGATAGATAGAACACACTTAGATAAGGCAGACTTAGATAGATAAGAACAGGCTTAGTTAGATAGATAGATAGATAGAATTTTAGATAAGGCAGACTTAGATAAGAACAGGCTTAGATAGATAGATAGATAGAACACACTTAGATAAGGCAGACTTAGATAGATAAGAACAGGCTTAGATAGATAGATAGATAGAACACACTTAGATAAGGCAGACTTAGATAGATAAGAACAGGCTTAGTTAGATAGATAGATAGATAGAACACACTTAGATAAGGCAGACTTAGATAAGAACAGGCTTAGATAGATAGATAGATAGAACACACTTAGATAAGGCAGACTTAGATAGATAAGAACAGGCTTAGATAGATAGATAGATAGAACACACTTAGATAAGGCAGACTTAGATAGATAAGAACAGGCTTAAATAGATAGATAGATAGATAGATAGAACACACTTAGATAAGGCAGACTTAGATAAGAACAGGCTTAGATAGATAGATAGATAGTTAGAACACACTTAGATAAGGCAGACTTAGATAGATAAGAACAGGCTTAGATAGATAGATAGATAGAACACACTTAGATAAGGCAGACTTAGATAGATAAGAACAGGCTTAGTTAGATAGATAGATAGATAGAACACACTTAGATAAGGCAGACTTAGATAAGAACAGGCTTAGATAGATAGATAGATAGAACACACTTAGATAAGGCAGACTTAGATAAGAACAGACTTAGATAGATAGATAGATAGAACACACTTACATAAGGCAGGCTTAGATAAGAACAGGCTTAGATAGATAGATAGATAGAACACACTTAGATAAGGCAGACTTAGATAAGAACAGGCTTAGATAGATAGATAGATAGATAGAACACACTTAGATAAGGCAGACTTAGATAGATAAGAACAGGCTTAGATAGATAGATAGATAGATAGAACACAGTTAGATAAGGCAGACTTAGATAAGAACAGGCTTAGATAGATAGATAGATAGATAGAACACACTTAGATAAGGCAGACTTAGATAGATAAGAACAGGCTTAGATAGATAGATAGATAGATAGAACACACTTAGATAAGGCAGATTTAGATAGATAAGAACAGGCTTAGTTAGATAGATAGATAGATAGAACACACTTAGATAAGGCAGACTTAGATAAGAACAGGCTTAGATAGATAGATAGATAGAACACACTTAGATAAGGCAGACTTAGATAAGAACAGGCTTAGATAGATAGATAGATAGAACACACTTAGATAAGGCAGACTTAGATTAGATAGAAGGCAGACACTTAGATAAGGCAGACTTAGATAAGAACAGGCTTAGATAGATAGATAGATAGAACACACTTAGATAAGGCAGACTTAGATAAGAACAGGCTTAGATAGATAGATAGATAGAACAATTTTTAGATAAGGCAGACTTAGATAGATAAGAACAGGCTTGTTTAGATAGATAGATAGATAGAAACACTTACTTAGATAAGAACAGGCTTAGATAGATAGATAGATAGATAAGAAAGGCAGACTTAGATAGAACAGACTTAGATAGAAGATAGATAGAACACAGATAAGGCAGACTTAGATAAGAACAGGCTTAGATAGATAGATAGATAGAAACACACTTAGATAAGGCAGACTTAGATAGATAAGAACAGGCTTAGATAGATAGATAGATAGATAGATAACACACTTAGATAAGGCAGATTTAGATAGATAAGAACAGGCTTAGATAGATAGATAGATAGAACACACTTAGATAAGGCAGACTTAGATAAGAATAGATTTAGATAGATAGATAGATAGATAGAAAGATAGATAAGGCAGAGATAGATAAGAACAGGCTTAGATAGATAGATAGATAGAACACACTTAGATAAGGCAGACTTTAGATAAGAACACTTAGATAGATAGATAGATTAGATAGATAGATAGATAGATAGAGATAGATAGATAATACTTAGATAAGGCAGATTTGCTTAGATAAGAACAGGCTTAGATAGATAGATAGATAGAACACACTTAGATAAGGCAGACTTTAGATAAGAACAGGCTTAGATTAGATAGATAGATAGATAGATAGATAGATAAGAACAGATAGATAGATAATAGATAGAACACACTTAGATAAGGCAGATTTAGATAGATAAGAATAGGCTTAGATAGATAAGATAGATAGAACACACTTAGATAAGGCAGACTTAGATAGATAAGAACAGGCTTAGTTAGATAGATAGATAGATAGACTTTAGATAAGCAGACTTAGATAAGAACATAGATAGATAGATAGATAGAACACACTTAGATAAGGCAGACTTAGATAGATAAGAACAGGCTTAGATAGATAGATAGATAGAACACATTTAGATAAGGATAGACTTAGATAGACAAGAACAGACTTAGATTAGATAGATAGATAGATAGATAGATAGATAGATAGGCAGACTTAGATAAGAACAGGCTTAGATAGATAGATAGATTTAGACTTAGATAAGGAGACTTAGATAGATAAGAACAGGCTTAGATAGATAGATAGATAGAACACACTTAGATAAGGCAGACTTAGATAGATAAGAACAGGGTTAGATAGATAGATAGATAGACTTAGATAGATAGATAAGAACATAGATAGATAGATAGACTTAGATAAGGGCAGACTTAGATAAGGCAGACTTAGATAGATAGATAGATAAGAACAGGATAAGGGGCAGACTTAGATAGCTTAGATAGATAGATAGAAGTTACACACTTAGATAAGGGCAGATAGATAGATAAGAAAGCTAGTTAGATAGATAGATAGATAGATAGAACACACTTAGATAGACTTAGATAAACAGGCTTAGATAAGGCAGACTTAGATAGAACACACTTAGATAGATAGATAATAGAATAACTTAGATAGATAGATAGATAGATAGATAGAAACTTAGATAAGGCAGACTTAGATAGATAGGCTTTAGATAGATAGCTTAGATAGATAGATAGATAGAACACATTTAGATAAGGCAGACTTTAGATAAGAACAGGCTTAGATAGATAGATAGATAGAACACAGTTAGATAGATAGAACAGGCTTAGATAGATAGACAGATAGAAACACTTAGATAAGGCAGACTTAGATAAGAACAGGCTTTAGATAGATAGATAGATAGATAGAACATAAGAACAGGCTTAGATAGATAGATAGACTTAGATAAGGAGACTTAGATTAGGCTTAGATAGATAGATAGATAGAACACACTTAGATAAGGCAGACTTAGATAAGAACAGGCTTAGATAGATAGATAGATAGATAGATAGAACACACTTAGATAAGGCAGACTTAGATAGATAAGACAACAGGCTTTAAGGCAGACTTAGATAGATAGATAGATAGAACACACTTAGATAAGGCAGACTTAGATAAGAACAGGCTTAGATAGATAGATAGATAGAGAACACTTAGAACAGACTTAGATAGATAAGAACAGACTAGATAGATAGATAAGAACAGGCTTAGATAGATAGATAGATAGAGATAGAACACTTAGATAAGGCAGACTTAGATAAGAACAGAAGAACAGGCTTAGATAAGGCAGACAGATAGAAGAACAGGCTTTAGATAAGGAAGACTTAGATAGATAAGAACAGGCTTTAGATAGATAGATAGATAGAAACAGACTTAGATAAGGCAAGACTTAGATAGATAGATAGAACAGGCTAAGAACAGGCTTAGATAGATAGATAGATAGATAGAACACACTTAGATAAGGCAGACTTAGATAGATAAGAACAGGCTTAGATAGATAGATAGATAGACTTAGATAAGGCAGACTTAGATAGATAAAGAACAGGCTTAGATAGATAGATAGATTAGATAGATAGATAGCAGAACACACTTAGATAAGGCAGATTTAGATAGATAAGAACAGGCTTAGATAGATAGATAGATAGAACACACTTTAGATAAGGCAGACTTAGATAGATAGATAAGAACAGGCTTAGATAGATAGATAGATAGATAGAACACACTTAGATAAGGCAGACTTAGATAAGAACAGGCTTAGATAGATAGATAGATAGATAGATAGAACACAGACTTAGATAAGAACAGGCTTAGATAGATTAGATACTTAGATAAGACTTAGCAGACTTAGATAGATAGATAGATAGAACATACTTAGATAAGGCAGACTTAGATAGATAAGAAAGGCTTAGATAGATAGATAGATAGAACACACTTAGATAAGGCAGACTTAGATAGATAAGAACAGGCTTAGATAGATAGATAGATAGATAGATAGACTTAATAAGAACAGGCTTAGATAGATAGATTAGATAAGGCAGACTTAGATAAGAACAGGCTTAGATAGATAGATAGATAGATAGAACACACTAGATAGATAAGGCAGATAGATAGATAGAACACACTTAGATAAGAACAGACTTAGATAGATAGATAGATAGATAGAACACACTTATAAGGCAGACTTAGATAGGCAGGACTTAGATAAGAACAGGCTTAGATAGATAGATAGATAGAACACACTTAGATAAGGCAGACTTAGATAAGAACAGGCTTAGATAGATAGATAGATAGAAACACACTTAGATAAGGCAGACTTAGATAGATAAGAACTTAGATAGGATAGATAGATAGATAGATAGATAAGGCAGACTTAGATAAGAACAGGCTTAGATAGATAGATAGATAGATAGAACACACTTAGATAAGGCAGACTTAGATAAGAACAGGCTTAGATAGATAGATAGATAGATAGATAAGGCAGACTTAGATAAAAAGAAAGGCAGACTTAGATAGATAAGAACAGGCTTAGATAGATAGTTAAACACACTTAGATAAGGCAGACTTAGATAGATAAGAACAGGCTTAGATAGATAGATAGATAGATAGAAAGACTAGATAAGGCAGACTTAGATAGATAAGAACAGGCTTAGATAGATAGATAGATAGATAGATAGGCAGATAGATAAGAACAGGCTTAGATAGATAGATAAGGCAGACTTAGATAAGGCAGACTTAGATAAGAACAGGCTTAGATAGATAGATAGATAGATAGAACACACTTAGATAAGGCAGACTTAGATAAGAACAGGCTTAGATAGATAGATAGATAGAACACACTTAGATAAGGCAGACTTAGATAAGAACAGGCTTAGATAGATAGATAGATAGATAGAACACACTTAGATAAGGCAGACTTAGATAAGAACAGGCTTAGATAGATAGATAGATAGATAGAACACACTTAGATAGAAGGCAGACTTAGATAGGCAGACTTAGATATAGAAGATAGATAGATAGATAAGGCAGACTTAGATAGAGGCTTAGATAGATAGATAGATAGATAGAACACACTTAGATAAGGCAGACTTAGATAGATAAGAACAGGCTTAGATAGATAGATAGATAGACTTAGATAGATAGAACACATAGATAGATAAGGCAGACTTAGATAAGAACAGGCTTATAGATAGATAGATAGATAGATAGATAAGAACACTTAGATATAGATAGACTTAGATAAGGCAGACTTAGATAAGAACAGACTTAGAAGAACAGGCTTAGATAGATAGATAGATAGATAGATAGAACACACTTAGATAAGGCAGACTTAGATTAGATAGAGATAGAACACACTTAGATAAGGCAGACTTAGATAAGAACAGGCTTTAGATAGATAGAGATAGAACACACCTTAGATAAGATAGATAGATAGAACACTTAGATAGATAGATACACTTAGATAAGGCAGACTTAGATAGATAAGAACAGGCTTTAGTTAGATAGATAGATAGATAGAACACACTTAGATAAGGCAGACTTAGATAAGAACAGGCTTAGATAGATAGATAGATAGAACACACTTAGATAAGGCAGACTTAGATAAGAACAGGCTTAGATAAGACAGATTTAGAGAGATAAGAACAGGCTTAGATAGATAGAGAGATACTTAGATAAGACTATATTTAGTCGTCCCCCCCCACGAGGGCGTCATGTGGCACAAGGCCTTTTTAACGTGGGCATTTCCGAGCCATTAGACTCGGCCAAAAAATAGCCCATTTGAACCCGTATAAAAGGGTTCAGGGCCGGTTTTACCTCCCCGAAGGAGACTCCGCCCTTCGGCGTAGCCTGCTTCGGGTTCCTCTCCGTCCGTAGACAGAGAGTTGAACCGAACCGTCGCTCAGAAAGTGAATGACAGACTTAGATAAGACAGACTTAGATAGATAAGAACAGGCTTAGATAGATAGATAGATAGATAGATAGATAGATAGATAGATAGATAGATAGATAGATATGAACAGACTGGGATAGAAGAATTTGATAAAAAGCAAAAGAAATTAGGTTATTGAAAGACTATAAAAAATAAGCAGGACAATGCATGACCCTATCTCTCTATGTATCTGTTGCATACCTGCACACATACAGCATCACACCTGATAAGGACAATGCCATCGTTCATATATTGCGTGCG